GAAAGAAGAAAGAAAGAAAGAAAGAAAGAAAGAAAGAAAGAAAGAAGAAAACGAGCAACTTAGAAGTTAAGTGTACACAAAGGAAAACTTGCTCTTTTCCCAGCAAAAATAAAGTGAGAATTAAGGGTGATCATAGTAGCAAGACTCAACAGGGTTCACACATTTCAATGGACCTAGAAATCCACTGAGTTGTGTGTTACAATGTGGATTCTTTGCTCTCTCACCCTAGAGAGTCTTCTTCAGGAAGCCTGGAGTGGTCCCCAAGAATCAGGTTTACAAGTCGCCCAAGTGATTCTGGTGCAGACAGTCAGGGACCATGCCTGGAGAAACACTGGAGTAGTGGAAAGAATACAGGCATGGCGTCTACAGAGGTGACTCTGGGCATTTGCCTCACTGAGTCTGTTTTCTCATTTGTCAAATGGGGATGGAAGTAGCTACACCAGAAGATTTGGGGGGTAAATGAGTTGAGGTGCGGCATATACTGAAAATCATACCACATATGTTCCATGTGTTGGAATGGCTGTTGTGTGGAAAAGGAATGTCTTATGGCTCCAGAGGGCAGAACTAGGTGGAGGAATGAGGGTGGGAACAGCAAATGTGGCCCCCTTGGGAAGCACTCTGTGCCATCAGAACCATCTAGCACAGACCTGCTGTGTGGGGAGGTGGTGAACAAAAAGTGTGCTCTGTTCATACTGGCTAAAGGTATCACAGGTGGGCGCCCAGCTTTACTCAGCTAGCAAGCAGCAGGCAATGTTATTCTCCCAGACCTCGCTGCAACACAGTCATTCCAGCCATACCGCTCGGCTTGCTCTGCTGCTAAGTGTTCTGTATACAGAGGTTCCCACATGCAGACCTCTTCACACTTATGTCCAGAATAAATGTCCCCAAACATTATGTCCTCCTCCCTCATTTGGCTTTTGTCTGCTTCTTCAGCTGTGTTTCCTGCCTATCCCTGTGAATTCCCTTTGTCTAGCCATGCCAAATCCTCCTAAATGCCATTTTTCCAAGTCTCACATGGCCCTCGCCCCTAGCTGAATCCCATTGACCCTTCAAAACCTAACCCACAGCCAAGCGTCATGGCTCATGCCTATAATCCCAGCACTTTGGGAAGCCAAGACAGGAGGATCGCTTGAGCCTAGGAGCTCGAGACCAGTCTGGGCAACATAGCAAGATCTCATCTCTAAAACAAAATTAAAAAATTAACTGGGCATAGTGGTGCATGACTGTAGTCTCAGCTAACAGGAGGCTGAGGCAGAAGGATCACCTGAGCCCAGGAGGCTGAGGTTGTGGTGAGCTGGGATCTTACCACTGTACTCCAGTCTGGGTGACAGAGTGAGACCCCAGCTCAAACAGCAACAACAAACAAACCTTAATCCAGTGAGTAGCTTCCTCCAGCCCTCCCTACTCCTTCAAGCTGAGCCTCTTCAATCCCTGTGGTGGCAGCCCTGGGGAACACATCCTCTCCCAGCATTTGCTGCCTTGTTTTGTAATTCTCTGCCTGTCTATGGTCTCCCAGTAGGGATTGTTTGAAAATGGAAACTCTCTTTTCCTCTGTATCATCAGAGCCTGACCCAGAGTAGGTGTTTAGTAAATTTTAGTTGAGTGAAGGAAACAAGGTGACAGGCACTGGTGTTTCCTACTCAAGATGTCTAAAGCCGCCCAAAGAATCTCAGAAATTCTAACCCATGCCCTGAAGCCTCTGAATCAACTCTTGAGTTGAATTCAGATTTCTTATGTGGTGAACATAAATGTCTTATGGTTTAAGTAGGCAAGCAGAATCAACAGGATGGCAAAAATATAGGAGGAAACTGAAGATGAATATTTCTTTCCTAGAATCATAAAACCTCAGATTTGGATGGGATCTTACAGGTTGTCGAGTTCAAGTTTTGACTTTCACATCTTTGCTGCCAACATGTTCCTGGTTCCTACTGAAACATTCTTTATGCTTGTGGGAAAGGGCAAGGTGGGTGTGGTGCATTTCATAGTCCAAGCTTCCTTGGCTCCTGAGGTGACTGTTGCCTTGACAGAGACCAACCTTCTGGCTGTTTTCTCCCAGCCCCCAAGTCCCCAATGCTGAGAATATGCAGAGTCTCTAGGAATGAGTGGAAAGTGTCTTATCACTGCCCCCTCCATATCAAAGACCCATCCAAGTCTTGAGTCCTTTCCTGTTGTTTCTGATCAGATATTTGCCTCTTTTTCTTAGGTGGTGAAGGGCCCCTTCTTTCGGCCTCCAAATGTGGAAAATTGTAGAGTCTTTGCTCAAAAGGAAAATGACTGATTAGATAAGAGTTTGAATGGCCTGTCATCTCTTCTGGGCACGTGGGCAGGGTTCAGCAACTTCAGGGTCAGCCACACATGTGCAGTAACCGGACTATGGTGAGTGTCTGAGAGAAAATGGAGGGAAAGAAGGGGAGGATAAAAAGAAGAAGAATGATAAGGGAGAGTTGAGAATGAAGAAGAGACCACGTAATGGTGAAGAGAAGACAGATGTGGTAGGAGTTAGATAATGGGGGTCAAAGGGCAAATCACTGTTACTACTGTTGAGCTTGGATAAATGACTCAATCTGTGCTTCACTTTACTCATTATTTAGCTCAAGGCTCGGTGGCTCAGCCTGTAATCCCAGCACTTTGGGAGGCTGAAGTGAGTGGATTGCCTGAAACTGCCAGTTCGAGACCAGCCCAGGGTACTTGGTGAGATCTCATCTCTATAATAAATTAAAAAATTTGCCAGGCAGGGTAGAGTGTGCCTGTAGTTCTGGCTACCTGGAAGGCTGAGGTGGAAGGATTGCTGGAGCCCAGCAGGTCAATGCTGGGGTGGCTGTGAGCATTTCACTGCACTCCAGCCTGGGTGGTGGAGTGAGACTCCAACTCAAAAAAAAAAGGGTGTCCAGTCTTTTGGTTTCCCTGGGCCACATCAAGTAAAGAGGATACACACAAATTATATGATATAGTTAGTGTATATACATTATAAAAGTTTTATTTTTGTATATTTTTATTATAAAATTTAGATAAATTAGAACAATATAAAACGAGTGGGAAATTTGACCTTGTATTTGTAAAACTAATCTATCAATGTCTAGTTTGATGGACGTGGTCACAATTCTCAGTGATTTCTCAAGGTGCTCATCAGAAATATTTGTCTGAATATTTCTCTGTGTACTTCACAATTGAAAACAGCTGCTCACAAATGTATGCGCTTCCAAAAAGTGATGTCATGAATAAGGCGTGATTGCAAAGTGAGGTTATTTTTCTCTAGAAAGGTAGGTCTTATAAATGTCCAATCAAGAGACATGATCAGATTTTTTCCTTCAGTTGAACATCTGATTGCAACTCTATACATTTCATTTGAAAATTTTCAGGTAAAATATTAATGTTAACCAAAAATGATGTAGCAATTATAGCAAAATAGTGATTATTTTGCCAGCAATCTTAAAATCTGTTTTCAAATTCTTGTGTTAAGACAGAAAGCAAAGCTGCATATTTTTGGCAGTTCACAGGACTGCATTTAGCCAATGTAACAAAATGTGTTAAATTATTTTCCATAATTTGAGTTTGCTGTAATTTAAGTTTCATTCAAGTGCAGTATCGCTTTGGAACTTCTAAAATGGAACTATGCACAGGGACATGAAAAAAATAAACACTAAAAACACATGATGCTAAAATATTTTGTGGGGCCGCATTACTAGCTGACCTGGACCACAGGCAGCCCATGGACCATGGGTTGAACATGCCTGATTTAGCTCATAGAGTGCTATGAGTGATGTAAACAAAGTGCTTAGAACAGCACTAGCAAACAAGAACTGAGTAAAAGACAGCCGTAACTAGCAAAGAGTGTGGTGGGGAAGGATGAGAGTAGAAGAAGGAGAGAGAAAATAGAAAGTAGAGAGAAGTGCATCACAAAGGAGAAAGGAGAAATGAGGAGAAGGGTAGAAAGGGAGGAAACGAGAAGAAAATGGAAATAAAAAGGAAGCAAAAAGAAACAAACGTTACATTCTTTCAGAATTTGGGACAAAGTTTCCATACTCAATCCCTGAAGACTTTTCCCTTGATCTCCTTGCTCTGTCACTCATTCTTTGCAAGTCCCCAAGGAAGTATAAAAATAGTTCCAGACAAAGAATGTGACGCTTTGGTCTGCCCTGCCAAGAGGCTTGACTGCTGACTCCCTTGCTGTGGTCCAAGGATCTCACCTGGGAGAAGTAAAGCACAGGTACAAGAAAGAAACATCTTGGAAACCAGGAAAGACAGTATTATGAAGGACATCTCATTGGGAGGGCACAAAAGAAACTAGCTGAAGAGATATGAGGAGGAGGCAAGACTTCCTGGGCCCTGACAGAGGAAGCAAGGTGAAGAGTTTTTTACTTACGACTTCCTGCTGACACTCAGGCAAAGTCAGAGAAACTTAAAATTGCTGCCAGGTACCAAATGCCCAGTTTATAATGTGAAAGGTCCCTGGCTGAAGTCAGTTTGCCAGCTACATTGGCTCCCTTGGGGTTCCCCACAATCCCAGTCAAAGAAATTTCTAGATTAGATATTCAGGAAGTTTACCGGGTATAGCACATAAAATTCTTTGTAGATTATTATCCACTTCTTGGCAGGAAGTGTGTTAGGAGGGGTAAAGGAAGCTGCCTATGCCATGAATAAATTCT